CCAAATTATGACAAGTGTTAGGATGAACTGTGTATAGAACTTGACTGTCAGTACATATATCTGGGTTAGACAGTACAGATAGACAACAAGCTATGTACAGAGTTGAAAACGAGGAAGATGGTAGGATAATTTGCCCTTGGGAAATTGCTGGGCCTCTTTAATAACCCTATGTGTCCCAAAGAAACCAGTGCCAGTCTTTTAAATACCGGCATTCTTTTGGTGTTGTGATGTGTCAGTGAGACGTGGAATACAAGTCTCTGAATTATTAAAAATGAATTATCACGCAGGACTCTGGTGGCATGTGGTAGATGTGACCAAGCAGTGGCAGAACCAAAATGAGATATGTTGAATAGGTGTAAAAGGCATCACTAAGGAAATATATGGTAGGAAAAGAAGAAGGGCTGGTTATGTAATGAGGATGAAGGAAAGAGGTGACAGGCATATAACCAGAGTGTATATGACCCATGGGTATATACCCTCCCAGTGTCAGGAGAAAATGAGAGACCTCTAGCATGATGTATGGATCACCTGTGGCGAGCTTATGGAAGGATATCGACATGAGACACATAGGGTGTGCAGTCATGAATGGGTTGAGATCTTCATTGTTGGAGATCAACTTCCAAATTGATATTAGCAGATCCATTTGAGTTTCTGAGTATTAGTCTCCCCCTTAGCCATTTTTCTTCTTTCATTTCCAAGAGAGAAAACAGAAGTACAAGAGTTGAGTAGTCTGCCTTCTCTTAATTGTCCGTAATTTGTCTTTCTGCCCCAAGCCAAAGTTTTTGAGCTTCTGTTTTCATTGCCCTTAGCATTCCTTTCTACTTTCCCTCTCTTGTGTATTTTAAGCTTTTAGCACAAAACTATTAATGTATTTTCTCTCAGAGTATAGTGTGAATGTAGTTGGAAATGAGAATTCTTTATTTTACTGCTAAAAGGGAACTCCTTTATTGAGTCACATCACTTTACCTCTCTGCTAGGTAATGTAAATCTCATGAGACAGATAATCTCTTCTCGTTTTTGCATTTGAAGTTTGTATACCATAGAAAACATAGGAATGCATTCACTACCACTTTTGTTCTGTAGTTTTACTGACGTACTAAGAAAAATGATCATGTGGGCATTTGGAATTGGTTTTGCCTGACATTTCCTTATTGAAATTAAATTATAGTACCCACAGCTAGGTGGTACAGTGGATGGAGTGTCAAGCCTGGAGTCAGGAAGACATCTTCCTTAGTTGAAATTTGGCTTCAGACACTTAGTAACTGTGTGATCCTGGGGAAGTCACTTAACTCTGTTTGCATCAGCTTTCTGATCTGTAAAATGAGATGGAGAAGGAGATAGCAAACCTCTCCAGTATCTTTGCCAAGAAAACCTCAATGATGTTACAAAGATACAACTGAAAACAAATATAGTTTTCAGACCCCTTGAACTCACCATCCCTTGGATTTGGGGTTTCTCAAATATAAATCCATCCATTCTCTGTTACCTAAAACCTGCTTAATAATAAAACTTGTTTATAGGAGTGGGCTGCTGGAAATGAGCAGACTCCTGGGTTCTTTTGGAAGCTGACTTCCATGGTAATGAAAAAGAACCTTACAAAGGCTGTTCTTTGTTTCTGTGTCCATTATTTTCTTCAGATAAGGAAGCCGTGTGGTATTGTAAGGAGAGCCTTTGACACAGAGTCAGAAGGCCTAGGAGAGCCTTTCTGGCTCTCCTACCAGTTTGCTATATAATCTTGAGCCACCCTGTTAACCTCTAGGCCTCAGTTTCTGAATCTCTGAAATGAGAAGGTTGATCTGTTTTCTTTCTAAAGTTGTTTCTGGCTTTAAAATCCAATTCTTAAGTGTAGTAGTAAAAATAATTTTGGGACATGAGCGCTATCAAAACTAAACTTCACTGAAATGATATGTAAGTAAAGTTACATATCCAAGTATAATGCATGCAAATAAAGTAGTGTATCAGTGACATGTCTTTTTCTTAACGTTTCAAAAAGAAAATTGTTCCTACTTTTGTAAGAGATAACTAGTTTACTAAACTACCTTCAAGCATGATGTAATGTGTCAACTCTAAATTGGTTTGAGATCTTAAGTTTTCTTTCCTAGTTGGAAAAGATTTTTCTTTTGAAGAAGTGGTGCTTCCTTAAAATCTTTATCTAATAAACATTCTTTAGTGCTAGAATAAATTATTACAAAGTTTTGTTCAGATCATTTTTATTTAGCATCCGTGATGTGAGGAGTTTATATGCAAAACCAAGGTGTGTGTCAAATATAATGATATACAGATTTCTGTAAGCAGAGGAGGAGAGAAGTCACTGTACTGGAGTTATCAGAATGTAAATATGTGGAAGAGGGGGAAATTGAACTGAGCCTTGAAGAATCAGTAAGATTTGGATAGGTCAGCCAATTGATCAACAACCATTTCTTAAGTTTCCACTATGTGACAGGCACTCACAATGTGTGTGTGTGTGTGTGTGTGTGTGTGTGTGTGTGTGTGTGTGTGTGTCTGTCTGTGTCTGTCTGTGTGTCTGTATAGGGAGAGAGAGAAGGTTGGAGTCTTTAAAAGCTTCATAAAGAAAATGGTACTTGTGTTTGGCACAGTGACCGGTGCTTAAACTTAATAAATGCTTGTTGACTAAGTTTTGCAGGAAACCAGTGATTCCAAGAGGTGGAGGTGAAGATGGAGAGTATTCCCCACACAGGAAGCAACCATTGCAAAAGCACAGAAGTGAAAGATGTTGTGGGTGAGGAACAGCAAAGTGGCCAGTATAGCTGGATTGTAGTGGGGAATAATGTATAAGAATACTAGAAAGATAAGAGGAACCCTGGTTTTGTAGAGCTTTAAATGCAAAAGAACTCTATATTTACTCCCAGAGCTGTTGGGAACCACTGGTGTTTGACTGTGCATGTGTATGTGTGGTTGATGTGGTCAGACCTCCTCCTAAGGAAAATTTCTTTAGTGGCTGTGCAATGAATAGTTTGGAGTGGAGAGAGACTTGAGTTAGAACAACTAATTAGGGGGCTATAGCAATAATCCAGGGCCCTACATCAGGGTGGTAGATATGTTAAGTGAGTAAAGGGAGTATATATAAGAAATGATGTGGTGATAGAAATGATAAGATTTCACAACTGTTTGGATATGTGCAGTGAATTAGAGGGAGGAGTAATGGATGACATCAAGGTTGTGAACCTGGATGAGTGAAAAAATTATAGTGCCCTCAGCAGTAACAGGGAAGTTTGGAAGAGATTGGTTTTTTTGGGAAAAATAGTGATAAAACTGTTTCAGACATATTTAAGTTTGAGATCTTGGAAGGACATTTGGTTGGAAGTGTTCAGTTGGCACTTGGTGATGCTGGATTGGAGCTTAGGCATGGAAGAAAGAATTCATAAAGCTTACTCTGGCCACATTAGAGCTGAGGATTCATGTAGAGGAGTGGGAGTTCAGCTTGGAAAATGAGGATGCAGCTAGTTGATGGAGTTTATTGGATGACAGAATGAGTAGTTTAGATTTCATCCTGTAGGAATACTTCAGTGGATTTATGATCTTATTGATGTGGGCACTGCAATTTGTGCAAATCATAGCCCATCCATGTTTTTTCATCCTTTTTGATTCTTTTCTCTCCCCATAAATCCTTCAAAAGCTATCTACCTTTAGGTCTTCTAGAATCACATGGATACTAGTAACAAACTCATTCTTTGCATCATTCTTGCTTACTAAATAACTAGACAATGGCATGACATAAGACTTTATATGATATATCATACATTGTTATTTTTCATTCTTGTTTAGGAAATGGTATCTAGAAGGTTTTATGTTTCTTTATCTAAGACAATCATCAGACTTTGTCATACCCTTCCCTATCTCTACCCCTTCATGCCATACAGTATTGGTGGAAGGAACTAGACATACTTTTTTAATAGAAGAAATGACAAATTAGTTGTAATCAAATATTTGAAGGACTGTGGAGAGGGGGTAGAGTCATTTTGTTTGAGACCAGAGGGCAAAAAATATCATATGTGTAGAAATACAGAGAGGCAAATTTAGGTTTGAAGTAAAGAAAAAACTTCCTAATTTGAAGAGCCCTAAAGTGGAATGGACTACTTCTTAAAGTATTGGTTTCCCCTTTACTGGTGGTCTTCAGGAGAGGTTGGATGACCAGTTTCAGAGAATGTAACAGAGGGATTCCTGTCCCTACCTATTCCTGAGGTTCCTTCCAACTCAGTTTGTGATTTCTGTGGAACTCTTCCATGTTTTTCATGTTCTAGAATTTTATCCCTTGCTTATTGAGATATTAGGTGCCTAGAGATGACAGCAGATAAAATTTGTTTCCCTCTGCCATCCCCAGTAAACCTTAGCAATACCTTGTGAATCTTAGGGATTCCCTGAAATATCTTCTAAAATCTGTTAGTCCATGACATTCATGATAAGAATAGAACAAGACCCTATTTTTAAAAAGATATAAATTGGGCATCCCCTTCTGTGTCGATTACAAATGTAAATATACCAATTTCATTTATATGGCACTAAAAACATGTTGCCTTTTATTATAGTTATTTGTATTTGGTCTGTGTCTGTTTCTGAAGAGCAAGGACAACAAAGAATTGTTGAATAAAGTGAAAACTCTAACTGCCCAATTTTTCAATGATAATTTGGATTCTAATATCTTTAGTGGTTTTATAATTCTGTGCTAAGAGGTTCTCTATTGTTAGTAACTATGTTCAACCCTATTTTAAAATAACCTAAAGTTGTTTATTATGCATTATTTTCGTAGTGATTCTCACCTTCTATGCTAGTTTAAATTTAAGAGAATGCTCACCAGTTTTTTAATACAGTTTTTGCCTTAGTTAAGTTATAAAAAATTAGCCAGGGAACAAGCCTTTTACCCCCTAGGGAATCAAATAGTTAAGATCCTTGTGCCAGATGCAGGGATATAGTTTTACAATAGTTTTGGAAGTGAAATAAATTACAGTGACTAACCCTGATTCTCTTATATGTGTATTCAGGTTTTGTAGGTCTCTTTAATCTGCTGCTGTTATGGCCGGGCTTCTTTTTGCTTCATTATACTGGATTTGAGGCCTTTGAGTTTCCCAATAAGTTAGTATTAATGTGCATTGTCATTAATGGCCTAATTGGAACAGTTCTCTCAGAGTTGCTGTGGTTATGGTATGTACTATTTATTTTATATGGATGTTATTTTTATTATTAAGGATACCAACTATGGACATTTCTCATCTAACTCCATTCATTGAGCCCATGAAAACTTTTATTCTTCTAGGAAGCAGTATAGTACTTTAAGAACAAAGTTCAAATTGTAGATAAGTTTGGAGGGAAAAGTTTTGAGGGGAGGGTAGCATTGCCTGGTTCTGAGAATGGAGGGTGGGATAGTAGAGACTGGACAAGATTCTATGACCGAATGGGGTGGAGTCAGGAACCCCCCAAAAAACAACTTTAATTTTTGGTACTTTATTGAAAATTCTTCCCTCTTGGGGTCTAAAAAGTACTGATTTTTATATTGAATCCTGGGTTGACCGAAGCTTTAATTGAAGGAATAGGGTCTTTGCTTATCAGGTGGAGTATTAGAAGAGAATAAACTAAGTGTGAATAGTTTGGGGCATTTGAGCTGTTGATGAAGGACAAAGGAAGAGGATGCAGAATGGAGAGGAGCTTAGAAAATCTTTTGTAAGGGGTTGAATACTGATAAAATCCCAGAAATTGTTAAAGCATGGCTTTGAGTATAGCTGAATTGGACTGAGGATCACTAGAGCGTAGTGGAACTGTGTTAAGAGAGTTGGGAGGAACTGAGTTAGAAAGGTTCTTAGTCCAACTCTTCCCCCTACCCTCTTTTTAAAAAATACAAATGAGGAAAATGAATTCTAGGGAGACGAAGTGACATGGCCCCTAAGGCTAGACAGTGAGTGGCACAACTTCATCCATAGTACCATGGTGGTTGGTATCACATAAGATACCTCTGGAAGTTAAATGAGATTCTCTCTCTCTCTCTCTCTCTCTCTCTCTCTCTCTCTCTCTCTCTCTCTCTCTCTCTCTCTCTCTCTCTCTCTCTCTTCTTTTCTCTCTCTCTCTCTCTGTCCCTCTCTCTCTCTCTCTGTCTCTGTCTCTCTCTCTGTCTCTGTCTGTCTCTCTCTCTGTCTCTCTCTCTGTCCCTCTCTCTCTCTGTCTCTCTCTCTGTCTCTCTGTCTCTCTGTCTCTCTCTGTCTCTCTGTCCTCTCTCTCTCTCTCTCTCTCTCTCTCTCTCTCTCTCTCTCTCTCTCTCTCTCTCTCTCTGTGTTTAGTAATCATAGAATACTAGATATTGACTTGTTCTTTAGTGCCAAGGATTTTTAGAACAGGGCTTCTTTATGTTTTTTGTATTATGGACCCCTTTTCAGAATAATATTTTTAAATGTGTAAAATGAAATATGTAGGATTACAAAGGAGACCGATTATATGAAACAAAGATGTTATTTTGTTTCCCCATTCAAGTTCATAAACCCCCTGATGCCTATCCACTCTTGTGGTAGAGTCTGGACCCCAGGTTAAGAACTCTACAGAAGGATGAAAGCTTTGCTTCTGATCCCTTTTTTCATCTAGTGGCTTAAAAAAGAAGAGAAAAGAAAAAGCCTACAAAATTGCATCTTGGCTACTAATAGATACTATCTCCTTCTGAATGCCTTAACTTCTTTGTTTTTACTTCTCTTATGGCATTTAATACATTCTCCTTTGTGTTTTTACTTGCTATTTTTGTTATTTGTATATTGTATGTTTATTTTATTGTCTTGAGATTTTAAGGTGCTCAAGGTCAAGAATGGTTCCTTATTTTATCTTCATATTTACAGAAACCAGCATAGTGTCTTTCTCTGTTCTACTAAAGCTGAACAAACACTTCAAATTTTGTTGTGCCTACCTTCTTTATGGAAACAAATTTTCCACTTTAGACCTTACACTTTAGGTAACTGTCTTGATTTACTCTGGTCCAAAAAACCTAAAACCCCAAAACACCTGGTGGCCAATCTTCTCTTAATGAACTTCTCTAAACTTAGGCAGATGTCCTTTGAACTACAAACACTTAGTCTCATTAGGTCATGCTTTTGAAGTTTTTCCAACTTGGTTGTCTTTAAGAACCCAGTATCACTTTTATGCCATAATAAAGCCTTAGAATAGAACTTTAATGAGTCCTCAAATCTTAAATTCCTTTTCCCCCATTGGGTAGACAAAGATTACAAAATGAGAATTTTTTCAGGCTTATGTGTTGTTTATATAGACTTAAAAAATGGAATGAGAAAAAATTACTTTTAGAAGTGGTCACTTTTTCTCAGGAGGATGTTCCACAGTAGTCCTAGTTAGTTAAAAGGCATCTTTCTACCATTGAAGAAAAGCTTGCCTTTTGTTCTCTTGCTCTGCCATTTCTCTTGTTTATATCTATGACTATTCATTTTGGGCAAGTAAAAACCATTAGCAATTAGCATAGTATTTTGATGGAGAGATGCCATGGCTACTTTAAAATCTATACTTATTTTTATGAAATTCATTGTAGTTCTTCTAGTTCAATTTAAATTGCAAAGTCTTAAATTAAGAAATTTTGGCAGAAATGAATGTGCATTTAAGAAAAGATTAAGTTCCTGCTGCTTGTCAGACCAGTGCTTTACATATATCTTTGAACTCTTAACTCACAGTAGTTTTTGTCACTTTGAAGGTTAGCCTGGCCTTTGTTATGTACCATGATCTTAAACAAAGACTGTGGTACTTGCAAATATTTAAATTATCAATGACCTGTGAATTGTTTTGTAATTTTAAACATTTGCATGTAATACAGTTATATAAACTAAATTTGTATCCTTATTGTGGCATACAGAACACAATTGAATGTGACTGATCTTGCCAAACTCCTCAGCCTCTCTGTGTCTCAGTTCTTTTGCTCAGAAATAGGGTTAACAGTTTATTTCATGACTGTGTTTTGACAGTAATGAAAAGCATATAAGTTAAATGGATTGAAAAACTTAGAGACTAAACTCAACATTGTATTAGATGCCCAGTTGTGGTGATCGAAGTATTATTTTTTATTAGCTAGAACTTTTAGAGTGTTGCAAAACTTTCCTGGTTTGCTCCTGTGACCTCTGGAAAAAAATATTCATGATTTTAAGTCACTTGTCAGTCAATAGGTTTTTATTGGAGGCTTATTACAAGCCCAGCTCTCTGCTAGGTATTGTTGTGGGCTTAAAAAAGACTCCTGATGAATTTGTTTGGGGAAATGAGAGAAAATAATTAAAAGAGCAATTAGAGACTCTAAATACAATATCAAATCCTGTAAGTGGTCTAATATTACCTTAAGTGAAATTAGAATTGATGAAAGGAAAGGTGTCTAAGATGTTTATAACATAAAAGAGGAATCCTTTGAGTTCGTAGAAGCAGGCCATTGGGGCCAAATAAAGTTAACTTTTATTTATAAATAGCAACAGTTCATTTTCCTGCAAATAGAGGATGTATGTTTTCCAGTTCTTTGTGAAATTCTACAAAATAATCCTAAAGCAACTTGTTTTTCAGAATTAGTTACTAATATTCCAGAATTGAACATTAAAAATGTTTTAGATTATGAAATGAGTAGAGAGGTAAAGAATACTGAGAATATTCATCCTTTTTGTTATTCAGTTCTACAGGATAGGCCTGTTTTTTATTGTGACACTGACTTTGGGTTGGCCTAGAGATATACTGATTGTTAGCCATCACTTGGGTTACTTGATTCCCCCTTCTTCTCTTTTTAGTTGGGAGGCAGGAGTGGCATGAGCAGGGAGAAGGGAAGTTATTTCATCTAGAGCTCCTAGAGAGCAGCTTCTTTGAATCTTATAGACTTCCTGGGAGTCACCAGGGGATTAAGTGACTTGGTCCAGGTCTCAAAAGTGTTATGGACTAGAGGAGGGATTTCAACTTAGGTTTTCATAACTCTAGAGACTTCATAGACACACACTTCTCTCCCTGCCCCACCAAACACATATATCTTATTCTCATAAATTGAATGATTAAATCTTACTTTGTAATTTCATAGTATCAGAACTTTAGAAAAGGTTACAGCTAATTTTAAATATATAAATTATTTGTTAATAGAATATAATATACAATTTAGAGTTTAATTGTAGCTTGTCATAATGATCTGTAGTTGTCTTAATTTTTTTTTAATGTTTTCCATTATTTTTATAGTAAGAATTTTATATGGGTTTGGCATTTTAAGCTTACCATTAAGAAGGATTGTTTTAGCAATATGACATTGTTTAAAATAAAATATTAGATGTGAATGTCATGATTTTAGCTTGCTGCCATTGATTTCCCTCCCTCAACATATAAAATTAAGAATCAACACCTGCTTTTTGATGGTGTGCTTTAGTTGTAGCTTTTAAATGCAAGAATGTGTATTTTAATCTATTTTAGGGGCTGTTTTCTTACCTCATCCCTGATTGGCACACTTGCACTAAGCCTTACAATACCTCTGACCATAATAGCTGATATGTGCTTGCAAAAGGTAAGCTATTCTTTATTGATTAAAGATAATGATATATTATTAAAATGGACTTGATCAATAAAATGTGTCGTAATTAGAAACTTCAAATCAATGTTAGTTTGAAAGATCAGTAGTGTACCTAGAATTGTCCTATACAGCTGCTATAAAATAGAAGATAGGGAAGAATATTGATTTTTCTTATTGTGGAATTGAAAATGGCATTTTAGGTCATCTAGCTCATCTTCCTCATTTTATGAATGAGGAAACTTAGGTACACAGAGGTTAAAAGATTTGCCTAACATACAGGCAGTGACTCTCAGTGCTGGATTTGAACCCAAATCCACTGTTCTTTTCTTGCTTACCATTCTCCAGCTATGATTATAGATTTTTAAAATTTGGTAAATTACTTTTAAAATAACAAATTTCAAGTAGTGAAAACATGAGCTTTCACTATATCTTTATAAGAGTCTCCACTGGAGAGTAAGTTAGTAATTAAGGCAGACTTAATCATATCTTTAAAATTATTTCAGAAACATGACCCAAAAATAGTATAAATTCTAAATTGCAAAAACTTTGAATTCTTCGTTTTCAGGCAACATAGTAATAATGTTATAGGTGAACTCTATCAAAAATGAAAGTTAACTTTATGTATTAACTCTTTCATATTTTTTTTGTGGAGTTCTAGTCTGAAAGGACAGATGAGCTATATTTTATCTTTCCCGTCTCTCCGTAGTATTATATCCTATGATTGAGAGTGAGAAGAATATCAGATTAACTATATGTATAATGTTAGCATCAAAGTCCACTGAAACAAGAGTATTGTATAGAAAAAAAAGAGTCTATTCTACTTTGTTCTTTTCTTACCTCTATCTGCAATACTGATTTGAGTATTATACTTGTTTTTCTGTGACTGGCTTTTCCCCTGTTTTATTCTGGTCACCCTCAAATTTATCACCTACCTACTGGCCAGTCTTAGTGGCTCAGTGGATGGAGTGCTGGGCTTGGAGTCAGGAAGACCTGACTTCAAAACCAGCTTCCAATACTTCCTAGCAGTGCAACCCTAGGCAGGTCATTTAGTCCTTATCTGTAAAATGGGGATAATAATTATAGCACCTAGTTTCCAGGATTATTGTTAGAATCAAATGAGACAATAGTTGCAAAGTGCTTAGCACAATGCCTGGCACATAGTAAATGTTATATACATGTCAGCTGTTGCTATGATGATGATGATGATGATAATAATAATGATGTTTGCTCCAAAAGCAAATGTATATATGAACAAAAGAAATCCTACTCTCAATTCTCCTACAATAATAACAGCAACAACACTACAATAACTCATTTTTATAAGGCCTTAAAATTTTTTTATCTATTTTCTTAACCCACTCTTCCTCCCTCCCCCTCCCTTCTATTACCTAGTAGATTGGACAAGTAGTATTATGCCTGTTTGAAAAAATGTGCAAAGTCACATAAAGTATGTGAGAACAAAGCTAGAATCCAAGTTTTCTGAAGTTCTAAACTCTTAAAAAGTTAAAATCTACCTTTCCCTTCTACCTTACCTCCAAAACAAAACCCTTTACAAATGTGTAGTCAAACAAAACAAATTCCCACATTGGCCATATTTTTAAAAAGTCTCATTTTATACTCTTAAGTCCATCACCTCTTTATCAGGAGATGGGGGTACCTTTGTTTCATTGTGAGGTTTCTGGAATCATAGTTGGTCATTGTAATGATCAGAGTTCCTAAGTCTTTCAGAGTCATTTGTCTTTACAATATTGTTATGGTATAAATTACTCTCCTGGTTCTGCTCACTTTACTCTGCATCATTTCATAAAAAATTTTCCTCATTTCTCAGAGACTGTTGCTTCCACCATTTCTTCTAGCATAGTAGTATTTCATCACATTTATATATTATAGCTTGTTCAGCATTTCCTCAGTTGATGAATATCCCATTAATTTCCAGTTCTGTGCTACTGCAAAAAGATCTGATATAGACACACATGATTGTTTTCCCCCTTACTTTGATTTCTCAGGGGTATAGATCTGTTAATGGTTTCTCTATGTCAAAAAGGGTATATGCACAGTATAATAGCTTTGTGGGCATAATTTCAAATTACTTTCCAGAAGAGCTGGACCAGCTCACAGTTCCGTCAGTAGTGCTTTAATGTACCTGTTTGCCTTTCCAGAATTTATGGTTTTCCTTTTTTGTCAACTTTGCCAATCTTGATGAGTGTGAGAATTTTTCTAATATTGATTTATATCACCTTTTTCATATAGCTATTAATAGCTTGGGTTTCTTCTTCTGAAAAGTGCCTGTTCGTATCCTTTGATTATTAATTGAGGAATGGCTCTTGTTCTTACACGTTTGAATCAGTTCCCTATATATCAGAAATGAGAAATCTGATAGTTGATGAGAAATTTTTTGCAAAGATTTTTTTTCACACTTACCTGCTTCTCTTCTGATTTTGGCCACATTGGTTTTGTTTGTGCTAAAACTTAAATTTTATATAGTTAAAATTGTCCATTATACCTTCTGTGAACCTTTCTATCTTGTTTGGTCAAGTACTCTTCCTGTATCCATAAATCTGCTGAGTATTTTCTTCCTTACTACTCTAATCTATTTATGATGTCACACTCTTAATTCTCAGTTATTAAGCTCTTTGTCAAAGATTAAACCTCTTTTAATATAACATGTAAGAAGCATGAACAGCAGTGGATAGAGCACTGGCCCTGGATTCAGGAGGATCTGAGTTCAAATGCGGCCTCAGACACATAACACTTACTAGCTGTGTGACCCTGGGCAAGTCACTTAACCCCATTGCCTAGCCAAAAAAAAAAAAAAGAAGCATGAACATAACATTAAGATTTACAAATATTTGCCAGTGTTTTGTCCTTATGAGTACTTGGACTTACTCATCTGTAAAATGGGAATAAGCAAAGCACTTTGTGTGGCCTAACCACACTATACGCCTAAAAAACTGGCAAACGTATAAGTTAGAACAAAGGGATTTTAACTTAATTTTCTATTGAATCTCCTTTAAAATATTCCTAGTAAGAGGAATGATGATGTATCACTGGCTATTTTTCCTTAAAAGAGTTTTGAAATGGAATATTATATACTTTCCAGCAGAGGGAGCCTTACCTATGAATATAAGCCTTTCATCCTTAATTGTTTGCAATCTCAAAGAGCAAATAGAGCTTTTTTACTTTTTTATTTTATAATTGAAATCTTTCTTTTCATAATAATTTTCAGTGTACTATATATAAATTCCTAATTTAAAATCTTATTGACCAACCATAGAAATTACACATCTTCTTCCCCTTGCTCTTCCTATGTGTTAAGTTAGTTAATGGTGTTTGCATCAAAACTATTTCTTAACTTTGGTAGAAAAAAATGGGTTTGATGTGAATTTCTTGTTACGTTTTTTGCTGCTTCGGTGGCTAATAACATCTTAATGTTTTAGCTATTTAGTTTTTGTATTTCCTTTTTAAATGCTATTTTAATTGAAATATTTTCCATGAGATACTTAATCTATAAGCCATTTTGAGTCAGAATTAGAACTAATAGTATGTCATAGCTGCCTTATGAAAAGAACAAGTTTTTAAGAAAAAAGTTTTATTTCTTTTTTTTCAGTGAATTAAAAATTGTTACACCTAACTAATTTAATTTTGATAGCTGATGTTAAGACATACAACAGCTTTTAGCCAAAAGATGATTCCTGGAGTTAGCCTAAGAACAAGGGAGAACAGCAGTAAAGATAAGCATTAAGTAAGAAATGAAAGGCACTAAGGAATGAATGTATGGTGTGGTCTGTGGATCAAAGGTTACAGGATGCTGTAGGAAAAGTGTTACTGTTCTCTTGGGTAGAATACAAGAAAAGTATGCATTCTGTGTCCTTGGCTCTACCTTTTTTCAGTTAGTCGGTACAGCTATCGGTCTTAGAGGATAGTGGTTATATCTGAGTACCCAGATTTTTAATGTTAAAAGTAATAAAATTAGGTGCTTTTATATTTTCTTCTTGGTATTAAACTTATCCATGCCAGTTTCCATAAATAAAAACTCACATTTAAGAAAAAAGTACTTGTGCCAGTAATAAATGAGTTTTAATTTCTTTTCCTAGGCGCAATTTTCCTGGTTATTTTTTGCAGGTGCTATCCCTGTATTTTTTTCATTTTTCATTGTAACTCTGCTATGCCATTATAATAACTGGGATCCAGTGATGGTGGGAGTCAGAAGAATTTTTGCCTTTATCTGTAGAAAACATCGAATTCAGAGGTAGGTTGTTTTTTTTTTTAAGGAAAAATCTGTTTTTTAACCGTAACATTGGTTCTTTACCAATATGATGACCATACTAGGCTAAGCTTTTAGAGCTTTTGTGAAGAATAAAGTTTGTACTTAATATACATAACCTGCTGGATAAACTAATAATAATAAATTAAGTCCTTTATTAGTAAGCATGTTTACTTTTGGTGTCAGTAAACTCTTAGCTTAATAAAATTTTATTTGATTACTAGAGAAAAAAACAACTTTTTTGTTGTTAATTTAGACACAGAAACTTTACTAAATAGGATAGAACTTTTTATAAAACCTTTTTTAGTTATTCTGCATGATTATTTGCCTTTTTTTTTAAAGAGTCCCAGAGGATAGTGAACAGTGTGAGAGTCTCATTCCTTTGCACAGTGTTTCTCAGGAGGATGGAGCTATCTGCTGTTCATAAATAATAGGTATGCCTTTAAATGCATTTGAAAAAAATAAGTTGGCTGTATTCATTATGTGTGAGCTGACTTCAGTAGTGTTTAAGTGTTGTAGTTTCCCAATACAGAATGGATTTCCCATTCATTTATTTCTGGTAGAATTATACAATTTACTTTTTGTGACTAGCGTAACAATAAGATCAACAACATCTATCTTGGGCCAATTTTCTTTTTTCTTTTCTTTTTGTTAATATGCCATTTTAAAATTAAATGTGTTTTTCTCTGCTGTGATTTTTCTTTTGCACCCCCATTCCCAGTATATCACATATAATTCCTGTCTATCTGAGAGCAAACCTGTGGATTTTGATGATTTTTATTTCTGTCAAAGGACAAGTAACTAAGTAGGGCAGAGAAGGCTGAGAACAGCATAATCATGGAAGATAAAGTAGAACACATGGGAAAAGAGACCATATTGCATGGTTGCAGAGAGAAGACAATGAATACCTGTTCATTTTGATAGGTTAGGCTGAATAGAGTGTTTCACCTTTTGGAATTCTTCTCAGGACTCATCTGTAGTATTTTACAGTAGTCCAGTGTGAGAATTGCTAGTGAAATATAAGCAATATTTAGTTTCAGCATTAGAATTTTTTCTAAGGAATGTCTATTCTAACATAGTTTTTATAATATAAAAGGTTAAGGATTATGAAAATTATAATCTAATGATATTGTCTTTATTTTTAGCTTGATGATGAAGCACTATACAGCGAAGAGACAATCTCCAACAAGATTACATAGAAAAAAATATTTCAGTGCCTACTCCAAAATGAATAATAATAGTTTCAGTTCTTTGAAACTCTAAAATACATATTTTTTCCTCATTCTTGTTTCATTGAGTTTTATAATGAACTATTTTGCTACAAATGGATATCACTACAAGTATAGGATATTCTAGTCCATCTAAAGGACCAACTTGCCTTACAGATCTCATGGGGTTCGGTTGGTGAAGTTATCAAGGAAGAAAATGCTGGTGTTAAAGAGACTTTGTTTTTATATTTGTTAAATGCTGGACTATGGAGCTATGTGTAAGAAATCTTAAAATCTATAGATCAGTGTTTGTTTTAGGGGAGATGCAAAAGGCTAAGGTGCCTTGTAGGTACGGATTATATTTTTGTGTTGTGTAAACCATTGAATACAAACACCACAGAAATATAGTTTAATTTATGAAATAATACATTTTGCGAATCTGAGGTTGAAAAAATAAATCTTTGGAACAGGTTGTTTTGTTCTCTTATACTACATATACTATGTTATCTTTGTATGAATTTTCTGTAGCATTATGTGCCTTGTGTGTTATAAATTCGACGACCCAGAGCAAGTTTTTAAAGGGGAAATAGTATTATAAGAGGGAGGATTAAGTACTTCTCAAGGTTATTGATATGTAAACTTGACTTGCTAAAGCTGTGCTTGCTATAAAGGTTGGAAGAAATGGTCACTTTTCAATGAAGAAATTTTCATAATGGAATAATTTAGATTGATGAGATATGGCCTGTTATTAAAATAAAATACTGTTTAAACTGTTATTTGTATGTATGTGTATTACAAATGAGTCAAGGAATTGCTAGCTTTTCCACAAGCTTAAATAGTTGTTCATTTATTGTAGAACTATAAACCACCTCCTTAGTTTTGTATTTCTAAATGAACTTTGAAACAATTAAACTAAATTGAGAGAGAACCAAAAAGGGATTCTGTCATTTGAGGATTTTGTTTGTTTTTGTACCTTAGTAAAAAGCCCACTAAGATAAAATTATACACAAAGCATTTAGCCCTTAATGTGACTTTAGATTCTTGAATGTATCTACAGTACAACTGCTTCTGGACTCTAACCACTATAGATGGCAGTGAATGAATGAGCTTCTGATTTCTCCTTGCTTATGACTAATGAATAACCCCTTCTGATTTCAAGCTTTTAAAGAAGGTGATTTAGTTTTCTTTAAAACTACTTAACTAGATTGACATTTTAAGATTCACTTTGTAGTAATGTTACTTTAATTGGCCTCATTTACGGTCTGAAACTCTTTGTGGCAATAGGAAAACAAGAGAAAACTCAGCCCTCTGGTTCTAAACATTCTTATTGTATTGTTACTGAAAGGATTTTTACATCATAATATTCAGGCTATTTTTTTCTCTAATGTAGCATCATGGATAAAAATTTGCCCACTTTCTCAGAACTAGTGAAAGTTCTTGGCAGCCCAAATTAAATTGATTTTGGCTCTTTTTATTGTCTTTTTAGGTTGTGTATCTGGGGGAAATAAAAGGTTTTTTGCTTTTTAAAGTACTTTAGGATCATCAAGGATTAATTTAGGTTTAGGATTATTTAACATACGCTTCTCATCTGTCTTGTTGCCTGCCTTTTATTTTAGGAATACTTTTGCCAAAGCCAGGTAGGGTTCGAAAGAGGAGGTACAATTAACAATTAAAAAATTGGTCTTCTGAATCTGGTAAATGTGTTGGAAATGACATAACTTAAATGAAGTTTGGTGATATTTCCGTATTTGAGGTTGTTGCTCATGCTTATCAGCTCTTCAGACTGATTTTATACCTACAGTTTGGCAGTGGAGATTTATTCTCATAGATAAATGAAGACATTTAAAATGCTTGCTCATTCCTGAGAAGGAGAGACAGAGGCACACTAAATTCTCCAACTGCCTTGCTTCTGTCTGAAGAGGAAACCTCCTTCAAAGGGTGCTCTCTTTTATAGATCAGGGATTCTTTCATAGACCCCTTTGATAGTTTGAAAAACCCATGGACCTTCTCTCAGAAAAATGTTTTTAAATGCAGAATGTAAAATACATAGGATTACAAAGAAAACTAGCTATTGAAATAACTATCAGAATATTTTTTTAAAAAGTTTAGATTCCATGTTAAGAAGAAGCTTTGATCTAGATGAACAGGTAGCTTTATTAGCATTTGCCTTTCTCACCCAGTTTTTCTCCTTTGTTATTGAATTGTGTGGAGAGAGGAAATGTGTGGAAGGACTTTATCTTTTTCCACTAAGTGTCTGTCTGGTAGAATTTGTGTATGTGTGAGCAATTTTATTTCCATTTTTGCTCAAAGGAAAGATAGAGACCTACCTATGGAAATTACAGTAGCCTTGTCTCATGTTCACGATAAATGTTGGCTTGGCAGTTGGTGACAATTAAATGACTACACACACTCATCAGGTTGCTTCTAATTTCTGCTGAGCCATGTTTAGTCTAATAGTACAGAGATAGAAGTTTTGTTACCTTGAGTTAATTTTCTTTTCCTCTTTCTATACATAATTTAAATGTCATTATTATGTAATTTAAAAATTCGACCTTGATCCAGAAAAGCTTGCTAGTTGTTTGTCATGAAGGAAGACTTTATGTTTGGAGTGAGCATTCAAATTGGAAGGAACTACAGTGAGGTGTTTTTAAAGAATCTAATGAGTGCTTTTTAAAGCTAGGAAAAGCCATTAGAATATGTTGGCAACCAACTACATATACTTGTTCCTTTAAATAATGTTTGATATGTTATTGAGATGTTGGCTTCTCTCAAGATGGCTTAATTAATTCTTTCCATTAAGCTGATTTTTTTTCCCCCTGGCAGCTAAAAGAATAAGGTGGTATATGTAGAAATGAGCTTTGCAAGGTTAAATGAGTACTCTCTCAGGTATATTGCTTTATTTTAGGAAGAATGCTAATGTCTGCTTTAAAATCAATCACATATAGCCAAACTTATGTCAGTTTTGGTTTGCAAGGCATGCCTACTGTCTGTCTGCAAGCCCAGTAAGAACTAACCTGTATTTTCTGGTTAGCTTAACAGTGTCTGGCACATAATAGGCACTTAATAAGAGTTTATTGATTTAAAATGAAATGTATTAAGAAAGAAGGCATTAATTAGGAAATCATGCTTATTTTTTCAGACAGTAATAAAGGGACAGTATAAGAGGAAGGATTAAGTTCATCGGAAGGTTATATTAATATGTAAACTTTAAGTAAACATGTAATTTATTTATTTAGTTAATTCTTTCAATCTTCCATTTCTCTCTATATGTAAAGGAAAAATGAGTAGAAGAATATATAATAGGTGATGCGTAGGAACTCGGTGCAGTGAAATAAGAAATGAATGGTGTGTGTGGTATCTAAGTTTTAGCAAATTATTAGTGAATCTAAATTTTGAAATAACATCATACCCATGTTGCGGGTGGTATGTATTGCAGAATTCAGTATTGAAATTCTCTTTGACGTGTTTCACTAACACTTTAAAGTAAAATATGGCAAAAACTTTCTTATATCAAAATGAGGTTTTTAGACACTTAATTTCTTTCAGAAGAAGTCTGTGCTCTGTTTGGATGTGTATGTAAATGATACATAGGACGTTTGCCTTTTGTAAGGAATGGTTCTCAGGAATCACCAATCTACAGCAGATGTCTATATAAATGTTTTTGATTCAGTAGGATGAGCTTCTAGAGCAGGTACATTGTTTTCCTTTTGTCTCCTTAGTGCTTAGCACAGTGGCCGGCACATAGTAGGTATTAAATAAATGCGTGCTGTCTAAATGATCTATCTTACCAGCTCATCGTAACTAAAATGAGAGGCCGTGCAGTGTAATGTTAGAAAGTTGGTCTGAAGAGTTAGGAAGACTTGAATTCAAGTTCTGCTTCTGACACTCATGTGTGACTCTAAACAAGTTCACTTATTACTCCAGGCAAGTCTCTAAGAGTTTAAGTTATAGAGAAGATGCTGATCTACATTGATAAAGGAAATCCCTCACCCAGAGCTTCTGACACTAATGAAATCATATCCAGTAAAAATAAAGCCTGAAGTACACATCACAGTTGGAAATGTCTAGTTATGGTAATGGAAAGATATTTTTGCTATTGAATATTAACTCACAGCATTGGAAAACTTTGTTTTAATTGATTTTATTACAATACGTTGTTTCAATTCTGACATTTTGATTCAAAAAGTAGACACTCACCTGCATCTTAAAAAAACTAATCATTTATTTTGAGTAATAGTGACTTATTTGTATAGGACTTTAGTTTGCGAAGTCATCCACATGTATCATCTCATTTGATCACTATGATACTGTGAGGTGGGCAGGACAGGTAATTCATATTTCACAAATGAGGTTCAGGTTAAGGGACTTGACCTAACGCTACTGGGTTAGAAACCAGTTGTCATTTAACAACAAAAAAATTAAAATCTGGTAGTTTTGGTTAATTGTCAAAATAACATAACAACTGGCATAAATAGAAGAAAATTTTCGTTTCAACACACTTATTAGTTCAGTTGTCTCATTTGCTACTTAGAAAAATTCTTTGAAATTTGCTTGTGAAACAGTAGCTCTGAAATGAAAAAGGCCTGTTGTGATGGCATAGGCATGGGTTTATTTATTTATTAAGTACCAGTACCAAGGCACTAGTAAAGAAACCTTGTTGTGAGATAAGGTCTGTGGTCTCATAGAAAATTTGAATCTAACACTGTGTATGTGTATAAAGGGAGAGACAGATTGCTTTAGTTGAAAATATTTTAATTCACTTCAGAATTAATACTTTAGATTTGATTTCTTCCATAAAAGCAAAAGAAGTACTTTAATACTTATTGTCTAAAATATCCTATTATGCTAAGCATGCAGTATTTCCCTACATAATTTTCCGGTGGTTATTTTTAACTCAAGTACCATTAAAATCAGCAGTATGAAAGTATCCACTAATTTCAGTAAAAAAAAATTTTTTTTTACAAAAAACAATATACAGGTTGGAAAGTGCTGATAATAAGTCTTCTCCTGTATGGTACAAATAACTTTAACACTTTACTTACCAGTATTGGTATGAGAATATAACTTCAAGGTTTTTTTTCCTACAGAAAAAAATCCAGTGGAAATCAGACGTTAGACAATGAGGGAGTATATAACATAATAGCAAAAAACAAAAACAAAAAAAACCCCATTTTTGAAGGCATCATTACCCTAATTTAAGTATAGCAAAATGTCATGATCATATTTGGACTTTGTGTTGTGTAAAACCGTTGTGTTTTTGCCATGCACATCCAAGTACACATGAGAGTGGCAACGTAGTGAGTGTGTTGGAGTGAGAATCTGGATACTGGGTTCTAGTGCCAGCTGTGCCACCTATTATCTATGTAATCTTGATCAATTTATTTAATCCATTAGAATGTAAGTTCCTTGAGGGCAGGGACTGTTAGACTTTTCATTTTAAATCTCTAGCCCTTAGCATAGTACCTGGCATATAGTAGGTACTTAATAAATGCTTGTAGATTTACTTGACTACTTTGGACCTGTTTCCTAATCTATAAAATTAAGGAATTCTGGAGTCCAAGTCCATCAAGGGAGATGTAAGTTCAATGTAAGGAAAATTTCTAAATAGTTGAGTTGCCCTGAAGTGGAAAGGGTTGTTCACACATGGCAAGTCTTTGAACAGAGGTTAACTTGTTAGGATTACTGTAGAGAGGACTCCAGTTCATTTATAGTTTGGACTAGCTGATCCCTGAAGTTTCTTCCAAATCTCTTTCTTGACTAGACTGAGGTATCTTTG